TTGTACTTTGCAAGCTTGAGAAGATTTTCCCTCCAGCTTTCTTTGATGTCATGGTTCACTTGGTTGTTCATTTGCCGCGCGAGGCTATACTTGGAGGGCCAGTGCAATATCAATGGATGTACCTAATTGAACGGAAATTATATATACTCTTGCCATATCACGCTCATCAACTGTCAATGGTAGTCCATATTGTTGTTTAGTATGGACATAATAAAATTTTTCCCTCTTGTAGGCTACTTGGAATTCTAAAAGGATTTGTTGCCAATAAAGCTCATCCTGAAGGTTCAATTGCGGAGGCATACATTTCCAAAGAGTGTACAACTTTCTGCTCGATGTATCTTGATGGAATTGAAACAGTGTTTAATCGAGAAGAAATGAATGATGACGGTGGTGACCACGGCTCAGGGTTAGCCATCTTCTCTCAAAATGTTCGTCCATTTGGTCTAATCTGTAGGGCACTTGATATGTGTGTCAACCAGAGATGGCTCACTGGTTTGTCTTGTACAATAGCTTTGAATTGGAACAATATGTAGAGTAAGTTTTCACAGTAGAAAGAATTTATAGACCAAATTTATGTTTGTCCAATTATTCGTAATTATCTCTCTTACTTATCTACTCTTCTTATTAACTAGGGAACACAAGAACATTTTGCAAAATGGAAGTACTTGTGACACCACAAAGAGGCAACGAGATGAATTTCCTAAGTGGTTCAAAGAACGTGTAAGACATCTATTTATCAAACATTTGAGCACATTATGCTATAATCACCTTCAAGAAAGTAACATAACAAGTATTGCTTATGTAGATAAATCAGTTGCGGAATCAAGGGTCACCAGAAGCAACCGATGAATTGTGGTCATTGGCAAACGGTCCTAGTGCAATAGTCAACACATATTCGGGATGTGTTTCTAATGGTGTTCGATTTCATACCATTGACCGTGATAACCGTCGTAAAACTCAAAACAGTGGGTTGGTTGTAGAAGGGGAGCATGACGGTCGTTCAATGCATTTCTACGGTTACTTGAGCAAAGTGTGGGAAATGACATATTTGTTTAGACATCGAGTTGTTTTGTATAAATGTGAATGGTATAACACCGGTAGCAAGAAGACTTGTCTCACGGATACACATGTCACAAGTGTTGATGTAAAAATTTGATGGTGTGAACATGGCCCCTTCATATTCCCAGCTCAAGTAGAACAAGTATTCTATGTTAATGATACCAACTTAGGTGGGAATTGGAAAGTTGTAGAACGATTCCACCATCGAGGAATCTGGAATGTGCCAGAGATGGATGGTGTACTTGATGATGTTCTCAATAGTGTGTTCCAATAAGACGAAACCACCGAGGTTGTAACAATTGTGGACGACAATGGTATGCAATTTGAAGGCGGTGGCGATGAAGGGGTTTTGTGTAGAGATGATATTGAATGTGAAATTATTCCAAATACAATGGTTTTCCAACCTCGTAGTCAAACACAAGTCGAGGGTGTTGATGATGCTTTCATTTGTGATAGCGACGTAGATGACTTCATTGAGGATGATGATGATCAAAAAGAAGACGAATTTGACATTGTTTAACTATGTAAAGCATGACATAGAACCTTCATGTATTTATTTAGTACACACTGATTGCGGAGATACTACTATAGTAATTGTGAAAGTCAATACTTTATTATAGTTTTTGTTATCTATGTCGTCAATATCACTGGCAAATTTACATAGATGGATATATATGAAATTAAGATGCTTCATGGATGTTCATTTCTTACGTAAATGTTTGTTAATTATCAATCTTGATGTATATGTCTATACGCATTAAAATTTTTTGCTCATCCATGTGCTCATTGTGCTTTTTGCCTTTGATTATGTTAAAATGTAACAGAATGGCTCCTGCAAAAAAGATGCGCCGTATTCCTTTACCAAAGAGGGCATTAATTGAACCATACTCATCCCCGACCGATACACCTACACCTGCTCTTGAAGGTGTTGCAGTAGATGGATCTCAGACTATTGCACCATCTCCGTCTGAAAGTAATGCATTGTCAAGATCTGAGACTATTGGACCATCTCCATCTAAAACTAATGCGCGAGCTGATCCATTTATGCAATATCGATGGACTATTGCTGATCCAGCGACAAAAAGGGCTGTTGTACAAACTGTCCGGGTATGATTCAATTGCTTTCATAGTGTGGATGATGGAAACAGTCCTGTTTTAATTTGCATATAGGAGCTCATTTGTTTTCTTTGTTGGTTATGAAAGCTTGAAAAAGTCTAATTAGCTTTATTATTGGATTAACTCTCCCATGTAATAAGATTTATTGTTGAGATACAAAAATATACATAAAACTAATTAGGATACAAGTATGTAAAAATGTATTCACTATTAAATTGCCTTTAAAATACAAATAACAGAGCTTACTGCTAATACGTTGGAGAAGTTGTTCTTTAACTCCCATGAAGAAGGTTTTGATTGGATGAATGTTTTCCAATAAAATAAGACAAACTCATCTCTTTGTTGTCTTTTTTCTTTTTCCCTTTTGTAGCTTGAAGGCAAACTCATAGTCAGTAGCACACTTGGCTTAAATTGAATAACAGTTTGGTGCATTGTTAAAGAACATTCTGGGGTTAATTTCCCTTTTAACAGTCATATTAACTGTTCCTCAATATGTGTTTTTTTTTTCATTATGGATTAGTTAATTTAATTTTTATTTTTAATAGTCATATTAACTGTTCCTCTGTTTTTTTTTTTTCATTATGGTTCTAGCTGATGAGTTGATTAAGGTTGTGGTACTCCTTAAATGATAATGGCAGCAAGGCTGGGGTTCATTTTTGGATTGCCAATTTATTTGATCAGTTATACACGGTCGGATTGCAAAAGCTTTTCAATTTTTTTCATATTGCCATTTAAAAACTAAAACAATGAAGTTTTCACTCTTTAAGGAAATTACAAATCCATCACAAGTTCGCTTCCTCTTTTCAGGTTTTAATTATGTGTGTGTAGATTTTTTAATTTTTTTTCCTGAATTGTTTGTTTTGTATATTTATGGGGGAAAATGTCCATCTATAGAAATCACTACTGATTTATTTGAAAATATTATTAGTTAATAATAAGTCATTATGTGAATATTGCAAACTCCATTATGCAGATATGATATTTTGGTATATTCGGCTAGTTTAATTTTCTTTACATGCCTTCTTACTTTCCCCATTGCCTAATAAATCTATTCAATTCTTTTATTATTTTTTTTCCTTTTTCGTTCTCTTTTTTGATTGTTTAGACTGGAAAAAAAACTAAGAATTGTTATTGTTTCCTAGTAACAATACTGCTAAGAAGTATTCTTCTCGTAGATATCTGTTTGTGAAGTTACAGACTATCATCTGCCTCTCGTCTAGCCAGCTGACAGAACCCCAACCAGCTGACAGAACCAAGTAATTGTCATGCCCAGCTCTGTCCACACCAATTTGGCAGAAAAAAATTAGGATCTTTAACAGTTACAACTTTCTGTCATATCAACAAAATATGCACAGTGGCCTTCTCTTCAAACAGCAGATAATACTCAGAGGCTATTTTCTTCCTTCTAATCTATCAATCAAGCAACGTCTCACTTCCTGTTTAAAATTGGCTCTAATGTGCTATGCAGTTTCCTAAGACCCAAATTTTAACTTATCTCATAAAAGGCAGTTCATTCACGAATTTCACAACTCTCTCTCTCTCACACACACACATAGACACACACAAAATAAAGGTCTTTCCATGCATCAATAACTTCTTGTAACCTGTTATTCTGCAAAGTGGTGACAGGGAAAATCATTGCCATTTTACTATGTGATTCTATGAAGAGATATTATTAGAAAAAGTGACTCAACATCTTACCTATTATGGATTATTTTCAATTGCATCAGAAAATTCACTATTGGAAAAACTGTGAAACAAAACCAGGGCATAAAATGGCATGCAAATGAACATATTTAACTGAAGGGACAGACCTGAAGTTCATGCCCAATGCTGAACATATCGAGTAAAAAAACAGAGATAGAAAATAGTATCAAAAGAAACCAAGTAATGGGAAAACAACCACAAATCTTTTACCATATGTAATGGGTAAAAAAGAGTATACATCTTGTTCAAGTGCAAAGCGACGCTCATGAAAAGCTTGCTTCCTTCTCTCCAAGGTAGCCTGTAAAATATCATTTCCTCTAGCCTAACACAGATGGTAGCCAAATTTTGTTTTTGCAATCCTGTGTCACAAGTCATTCTTTGTAATTTCAAGCCTTTGGATAGCCAGTCTACAAACAAATCATCAAATCTATTTGTCAATAGATAGGTTTCTATATCTATATATACATATATACACACACACAAAAGGTATTGCACCATATAGCAAAGCCATGGCAATTAACTTGCGTTTAACATTAAAATGATATGGTCAGCAAATTCTTTCTTCACATATTGAACTATGAAAGTGGTGGATCATATATCATGGCAAGACTATAAGGAGTCTTCTCCCTCATTTAAACTAGTATAATGACACAATTTTAAGGTTTTCTCACTCTTGACAAATTTTTAGCTTTTGACATTACATCAGTTAAGTTACTTATTTGGTTTGTATTGATTGTAGGATAAATTTGAGATTGGGGAGAATTACGAGGAGAATTCACTATCCCATCAAGTTGTGGAAAGGAAGTGTTATGTGTTACATAAAGATTGTAAGTACGTTATGATTTAGTTATTAGTTAGTACTGTTATCATTGTTTAACTATATATGTAACAAACCCTTACAATATGGATTATGTAGCGTCGCTACGACACCGGGAAACTTAATAGGAGCAAGCTACCCTACAATCACAGTAGTGGGTCGCGATCTTTTCCGGCGGCGATGAGCATTGAGGTGAGATGTGTGTCATTGATTTTTATTAACTTTATCCACATTTATTTCATATGTTATCATATTAATGAAGGAGTGTTGATCTCGGTGTTTGGCATATCACAGGTGAAGGAAAATGGTGGCTTCTTGCCAGATATTTGCGATTTCTACAAGGACACTCATCAGCACAAGAAGACAAAAGAATGGATTGATCCTATATGCGGTGCTCTACATGCAAGTATTCCAATCATTTGGACACTTATACTAACTACTGTGTTTGATTTATATTAACAATATTCCAGTGTCACAATTACAGGAGCAAATGACGATGGTGCGGGATGAGTCTATCGAGTCTGGAACGCTCATGACACAAGAGGATATATCAAGAGTGGTTCTTGGGAAGAATAAGGGATACTTGAGAGGTTTTGGGGTCGAACCAAAGCCCTCGTCCTGTGATTCTGGGTTGAATGCGGCATCACAAGCACGTGAGGAGCACTTGAAAAGGCTTACATCCGAGTTGGAGATACTACGTGCAGAGCAGCAGAGTGACCGTGAGGACCATCAAAAAAAGGAAGAGGACCAACATATAAAAGATGCAGAGAATGCAAGACAACGTCAAGAGATGCAAGGGCAGATTTTTGGACTTCAAGGCATGGTGGCGCAAGTTTTGGAAATGCTCAATCCATCAATTCACCACCATAGCTACTCATGGTAATGGGTAAGTGCGTTAACCAAATTGCATTATATTATGTTCAAAGTCAAGGCAAATAAACGTGTTATGAGAATATTAGAGAACCAGTTGTGAGGCAAAAAAGGGGAAAACAGCCCATTTGGGGCCAAACATTGGAAACAGCACCGAAACAGCCTCGATATCATAATAGGCACCTCGGCCTACATTAAAAAAATGTGTGAGAGGAAGCGGCGCATTGATCGGACGCATGGTTAAAGAGTTAGACAAAAAAATGTGAGGAAAAAGGCAAAAACAGGCCTTTTGGGGGCAATATAAACTAAAAAATCCCAAACATCCCGGAGATCATCACGGTCACCTCCGACTAGATTAAAGAAACTTGTGGGACCAAGCGGTGTGTCGATAGGACTAGGGTTGAAGCAGGCGAGAGAGGTGAAGAGTCTGTTGATGCAAGTGAAGAGTCCTTGTTAGATAAAACGGGATATTTATGTTGCTTTGCCCTAGATCTTTTTAGCCCTGTCAAGTTTTTTCCTTGTTGGGTGTTCCTGGTTTCCTAGTGGTATGGCGTTTATGAAACCTTCTATTTGTGGCTTTGATGAATGGAACATTAAGTTGACTCATATAATTTTAGGATGATGTTATGGAAAGAAAGAAACCCACAATCTACTGAATTACTAGTAAAGACTAGTATCCCTAATTTTCATGATTATATTTTTAGAGCTGCTTATAATTTAGCTAGTTATTTGAAATCTTTTAGCTTTAGAAATTACATGGACCGAATTTCATCAGATTTGCATCAGATCTTAAAAATATTGAAGGCAAACTAGTCGGTGTCTATAGCGTTAGGTTCTTGGGACTTCTGTTACAACTAGAAGCTTGTTTACTGTAAAGCTTTATTCAATATTTTTGCTGCAGTATCTACACATTGAAATGGCTTCTCATTCCCTACCACTTTGGAAAATTCTATCGAACTTTCTTTTGTAGGAGACCCTTACAGGCACCTCATCCAAGGTTGCATTTAATAATATATTTTCAATAGATTTGAGATGTGGTAAGGGTTTGTTTTTATTTTTACGTCATAGATAAACAAGCTTCTTCTCTACTATCTCATAGAAATGTAGACTATAGCACTTGGTAAATCAGCTATCAAACATGATTTTAATTTAAGGGAAAATCCTCTTTATCCCTTAAGGGTTTGGCCTTGGAGCACTTGACTACCTGTCAATTAAAAATACCATAGACTCCTCATGTGCTTTTAGACTAAATTGCAACACTAACTCCGTAATCTTAATACCTATCTACTTTCTTCTCATTCTCTCTCTTATGTTATATATAATATATTTTTTTTATTCTAATTATAGGTTAACCAAATAAATTATTAGCCTATACACCCTAACATTATAATTTATTTTGTAAGTTATATCTTAATTTATAATTTAATCATATTATACACATATAACATTGTATATATAAATGAACAAGTTTTAGGAAACAATACACTGGAGTTATTCAAATTGGAAGATGTATTTTCGGTACTGGAATTGATTTTCAGGACTAGAATGTGTGATGGTAGTGGGTGCTATTGGGTTTGTATAGAATGGTGGGTGAGGGGTGAGGGAATGGCAAGGCTAGTGGGTGAGGGGAGACGGGGTGGGCTAAGTTGGGGAGAGGGGTTGACAGGAGATGGTTGTGGAAGTGAAAAAGGATTACAGGGGTGGTGGGTGAGCAAAGTGAGTATTGTAACGGGTCTAGGTGAGATGAAAGGAGATGGCAGGATAAAGGGGAGCAAGGTTTTAAAAATGGACTGAAACTGTTATGTAACACCATTACATAATATTGCTACCCATTACAGCTGCTTTGGCAATGTGATTCAATTGCACAATTGTAACGGCCGTCATTGTTATGAACACCTGTAACAGGTTAGAAGATGACGTTAATGATGTTTAACTATTGTAAAGTTGAACAATAGTTAGAATTGATATATACATATGAATGATGTTTTATTTACAAAATGGTATTGCTAGTCATTTAATTTGTTAATGTTTTCTTTACTTTCCACTGAAATTTTTTCATTTTTTGTCCAACTTTACAATAAAGTGATGTGCAAATATTTTCAACAAAAATTTCCCTGACATTATTTCTCATTTTCTTTGGTACACATGGATGATCTCGTGCACAAAGCTAAATTGTACAGGACTAATTGGCAGTATAAGCATTTTTGGAAGGAATATATATTTTTGAATAGATGTATGTATGGAAAAGATTTGGGTGGACTAGTAGTAATATTTTTGGATGGATGTGTATGGAAAATATTTGGGTAGATTACTAGTGTGTATATTTTTTGATAGATGCACATGGATAACAATTTAAAACATAATAACAAGTAATTGTTATGTTTTAAATTATTATGTTAGATGGATGTGACTTGAATGATTATATAGATTATAAGTGGATTTTTAATTGGAGGAATATGTAGTTTGAAATTACTTGTGGATGAAAACTTATAATAGTTGATGACTTTCATTAAACAGGTTCAAGATTGGATAATTTATGTATTTTGTTGAATGTTCATGATTCAGTTGATTTGAATGATGCTTACAAATTACATATTATATTGAATGGATTGGATGAATTATTATGAATTACAGGTTTATTTTGTTGGATGTTGGCGACCAAATTTTGAATTTGTTTTTTTGGTTTTGGAGACCAATTGATTAGTCGGGAAAGATAACTAATATTTTTGCCAACTAAATAAGGTAGGCGAGAGGGTACATTTGGCAACTAAATAATTAGTCGTTAAAATCATTAATTTTGGCGACTAAAAAGGAATTTGTCGCTAATAGGTCAATTGCCGACTAAAGTTTTAGTTGCGCAAACATTCTTTTTCGCGACTAACATATTTGGTGGTGGAATGTGACAATTGCCGACTAAACTTTTTTGGTCGTGGAATGTGCCATTTGCCGACCAAACTTGTTAGTCGTGGAATGTGACAATTGGCAACCAAATTTTTTGGTTGTGGAAACGGGCCTTAGTTGCCGACCAAACTATTTAGTCGTTAAATGTGCGAATTGGCAACTAACATATTTGGTCGGGAAAATATGACTTTTCGCGACTAAAATGTTTTAGCTACTAAATGAATTAGTCGCAGTAATTATATATTTAGCGACCAAAAATTTAGTCGGCAAATATGACTTTTCGCGACTAAAATGTTTTAGCTACTAAATGAATTAGTCGCAGTAATTATATATTTAGCGACCAAAAATTTAGTCGGCAAATATGACTTTTCGCGACTAAAATGTTTTAGCTACTAAATGAATTAGTCGCAGTAATTATATATTTAGCGACCAAAAATTTAGTCGGCAAATATGACTTTTCGCGACTAAAATGTTTTAGCTACTAAATGAATTAGTCGCAGTAATTATATATTTAGCGACCAAAAATTTAGTCGGCAAATATGACTTTTCGCGACTAAAATGTTTTAGCTACTAAATGAATTAGTCGCAGTAATTATATATTTAGCGACCAAAAATTTAGTCGGCAAATATGACTTTTCGCGACTAAAATGTTTTAGCTACTAAATGAATTAGTCGCAGTAATTATATATTTAGCGACCAAAAATTTAGTCGGCAAATATGACTTTTTGCGACTAAAATGTTTTAGCTACTAAATGAATTAGTCGCAGTAATTATATATTTAGCGACCAAAAAATTAGTCGGCAAATATGACTTTTCGCGACTAAAATGTTTTAGCTACTAAATGAATTAGTCGCAGTAATTATATATTTAGCGACCAAAAAATTAGTCGGCAAATATGACTTTTCGCGACTAAAATGTTTTAGCTACTAAATGAATTAGTCGCAGTAATTATATATTTAGCGACCAAAAAATTAGTCGGCAAATATGACTTTTCGCGACTAAAATGTTTTAGCTACTAAATGAATTAGTCGCAGTAATTATATATTTAGCGACCAAAAAATTAGTCGGCAAATATGACTTTTCGCGACTAAAATGTTTTAGCTACTAAATGAATTAGTCGCAGTAATTATATATTTAGCGACCAAAAAATTAGTCGGCAAATATGACTTTTCGCGACTAAAATGTTTTAGCTACTAAATGAATTAGTCGCAGTAATTATATATTTAGCGACCAAAAAATTAGTCGGCAAATATGACTTTTCGCGACTAAAATGTTTTAGCTACTAAATGAATTAGTCGCAGTAATTATATATTTAGCGACCAAAAAATTAGTCGGCAAATATGACTTTTCGCGACTAAAATGTTTTAGCTACTAAATGAATTAGTCGCAGTAATTATATATTTAGCGACCAAAAAATTAGTCGGCAAATATGACTTTTCGCGACTAAAATGTTTTAGCTACTAAATGAATTAGTCGCAGTAATTATATATTTAGCGACCAAAAAATTAGTCGGCAAATATGACTTTTCGCGACTAAAATGTTTTAGCTACTAAATGAATTAGTCGCAGTAATTATATATTTAGCGACCAAAAAATTAGTCGGCAAATATGACTTTTCGCGACTAAAATGTTTTAGCTACTAAATGAATTAGTCGCAGTAATTATATATTTAGCGACCAAAAAATTAGTCGGCAAATATGACTTTTCGCGACTAAAATGTTTTAGCTACTAAATGAATTAGTCGCAGTAATTATATATTTAGCGACCAAAAAATTAGTCGGCAAATATGACTTTTCGCGACTAAAATGTTTTAGCTACTAAATGAATTAGTCGCAGTAATTATATATTTAGCGACCAAAAAATTAGTCGGCAAATATGACTTTTCGCGACTAAAATGTTTTAGCTACTAAATGAATTAGTCGCAGTAATTATATATTTAGCGACCAAAAAATTAGTCGGCAAATATGACTTTTCGCGACTAAAATGTTTTAGCTACTAAATGAATTAGTCGCAGTAATTATATATTTAGCGACCAAAAAATTAGTCGGCAAATATGACTTTTCGCGACTAAAATGTTTTAGCTACTAAATGAATTAGTCGCAGTAATTATATA